CCGGCGGCGCGGGGCCCGGGGCCGAGCTGCGCTTCTTCCGCGCCCTGCTGGAGCGCGCGCGCTGCCACCGCCAGTGCCAGGACCAGCGCCTCGGGGGCCCGGAGTCTCCGCATCGCGCCAGCGAGGATGTCCGCAGCGACTTCCAGCGCCGGGTGCCCTACAACTACCTGCAGCGGGCCTACCTCAAGGTACCCACTCCGCACCCCGCCTGGGCCTCTTCTGGGATGCTGAGTCCTCTCCCTCCCGCCCCTGACCCCTTGTCCTTCCTCTGCTCTCAGTCTTGCGGGAGAGGTCTCTTAAGCGTTGGGGTCAGATACCCTGGCTGGCTCAGGCTCTTAAACCCACATTTATGAATTTGGGCAAGTCCTTTCCCTTTCTCCGCATCAGCTTCACTTCTCAAAAGCAGGCTGTGGGGTGGCGCATGCTTGCAATCCTAGCACTCTGGGAGGCTGAGGCAGGAGGAGCCTATGTTTGAGTTTGGTCTGGGCAACTTGGTGAGTTTAGCAACACATTGTCTTAAAATTAGGAAAAACAATGTTTTGAAGGCTGGGTATGAGACAGGTCATGGTGAAGTCCTGAATAGTTCTGAGATCTGCCTCCAGTGCCACTGAGAATAAAATGTGTGTGTGTGTGTGTGTGTGTGTGTGTGTGTGTGTGATTCTGTACTGGTAAAGAGATGTTTAAAGTACTCGTTAAGCTCTGCAGATGAGGCGTTAGCAGGGCCGGGCCTGCACGTGGGTCGTTTCTTGATATTGGTGCCTTGTCACCTCCACGGATAGACCTCTCTCCCGCGGCCCCTTTGCACCACAGCCTGCACCATCTGACTTAACAGAGGGTGTCTGTAGGCTCACTGAGCGAAAGGCGGAGCTGTTCCTAAACAGATTCTTCTCTTTGGCTCCTCTTCACATTTATGAGTATCTGGTGAAAGTTGCAGAGAAAGAGTCTGCGGAGGGAGTGAGGCAATCCCAGTATGTTGGTAGAAGGTTTCCAGTTCTTAGAGGTTTGGACTGCATCAGGCCCTTGGCGTCATATGCCAGCATTTTTTTTTTGGGGGGGGGGGAGAGCGGGTATTTGACTTCCAAGAAGTTAGCATAAGGAGTTGATGTATTTCTCCCATCTGACTTACGAATTCTAGAAGGTAGGATGAGTTCTTGGATCCCTATGCCTGTGCATTCGTTTTGCTCTAAATGTATGCCCTTTCTTCCCACCTTCTGGATTTTTAGGTATCAGTGGCTTCAGCGCAGCTTTGGGGAGTGGCAAGTTGGGTGGTGACGCGGCCGGCTGATGGGCCACACTGCATTTCTGAGGTGATGAGAAGCACGTATTGTGCGGTGCTCAGACCTCGGGTGCCTTGGGTGGCACATCCCACTACATCACAGGTGATAAGGTGTGAGGCTTTGACAGTTAGAGGAGTTGATGTAGTCTCAGCTGGGACTAACTCTCCCCTGTGTTTACTGTGGCTGAGATCTCAGCGTTTACTCATCTGGTGCCTTGGGCAAGAAAGGAGGAGAAAGCCCCAGTTCTTTTCAGAAGTTGTTTCCTGCAGGTTTGTTCCTCCCTGTGGATTTGCTGAAGCATGTATTAAATATTACTCTGTTTTTTTTTTTTTAAATAGCAGTTTTGGGTGGTCTTCCAGAAATCAGTCTGTGTTTGGCAGCGAGGACACATGACTACAAAGGTGTAGTGTGGTCCCTGGAGCCTGGGAGTCGTAGACAGGCAGTCTTGGTGATGGTCGTGTCATACGTGTTGGACAGATTTTCCATTCTCAGGTCAGAGGAAGGAATGCATATTCATGTTTGGTTTTATAAAAACAAATAACCATGAGGTAAGTGCCAGTCTGTGGTTGTGTTTGGGTCTGTAACTATATTTTGGGCCCTGTTAATATGGACGTTTATCAGTCGTTCCTCTCTCCTGTCTCCCAAGTGGAGGTCAAAGAAGGTGAAACCATGGGTTTAATAGACCTCAAATTTTAGAGTGAGTTGGGTGTGAGAACCAGTCACACACAGATCCCTCTGTGGGAGAACTACTGGGAATGGTGTGATGAGTCGGTGATGTGTAAGAAACTATTGAAAAATATTTGGGTTCCTTTGTTCAGTTCTGCTCTATCAGCGATGATACTGAGAGCAGCCCAAGTCGTGTTCGCCTCTACTATGACAGGCCAAGGGTTTTTGGACCCACATGTTGAATAATTTCTTAAGAAGGAAATAGGCCTTACTCTTTGGAAATCTGTGTTGGGTGGTCAGAGTTTGTTAAAGATACATCTTGGTTCTTTTTCCTCATATACCTCCTCAAAGCACCTCAATTTTAACTTTAGCTTGACTTCCTAGGCACATGAAACCTCCCCCCACCGCATACTTTTCTGAAATAATAAAAAAAAAAGACACTCTCAGGCCCTGACAGCTGTGAATTCTGGGGCATTCACTTACTGATAGAATGAAGAGCTCCTTGCCTGTGCCTGGACATGGTCATGGGGGCTTAAGTCATTATACTGCTTTTGACAGTAGTCATCCAGCTTGCGTTTAAAATATGTGATGCTGTGCCAGCTCAATTTCGCTGAAGACTGGAAAGCTTCGGAGAGCTAAATAAGTTCGGTTCATTTCTGCTTGCGGGTTTATGAATTGGAGAAGCTCTCTGAAGAAGGTAGCTTCTCTCCCAGGTGCTGGTGAGGGAGCCACAGCTGGAAAAAGATGCTCTGTGGTGGGGTTCTGCAGACAGAGAAACATTGTGAGGTCTGAAACCCGCTGAGGTAAATGATTGCTTTTGCTGAAGCAGAGGGGAGAGGGTCTTGCTCTGTGTCACGTGTCTGGTGGCAGAGCAATGCCATTAGATGAGAGACACACAGGGCTGGGAGCTAGGATGTGGGCTCTGCTGATGACTGCTCCCCATCCATGCTGTGCTCACATGCCACGGAACCCGGCCCCAGGTTGTGGGAAAGGCCGTGCTCCCTGGAGCTGTCCTCTTGCCAGGTTTGGACAGCTCCAGGGCAGAGTGCGTCCCTGTTCTGTGGGGTCACAGATGCCCTCACGGCATTTCTCTTCCAGCCTGCTCTGTAGAATCCTCCTCAAGGCCTGGCATGTTGGGCAGCAGTGTGGCAGTCGCTGTGCCTGGCTTCTGGCCGCCCCTTCTGTGGGAAGGTAGGGCGAGCTTCTCAACCTCTGATTTTTATCATCTCTGATCATGAGATACAATTCATGATTCACAGCCCCAAGCCGAAGATGCAACTTTTATTTTTGCATTCTCTGCTCAGAATCCTTTAGTGGTTTCTCTTTGCTGCTGTGCCGCATCCAGACAGTTTAATACGCCATCGCGGAGTCTTTTCCCCAACTCTGCCATCTTGCTGTCAGAGGGAGCAATGGGTGTTTTCTCTTATGTCCAACGCCTCTACATCATCTGGGCTTCTGTGGCTCTTTGGGAAATGGGAAGACTTTGGGATAGGATGGCGCAGAGTTTGAGTCTGTGAACCAATGGTGTAAGTATTCAGACTCTCAGTTTTCCTATCTGGAAACTGGGACCCTTTCTTGATTCTGACTGAGTTCAAGAGATGACTGACATAAAGTATCCAGAGCAGGATCTGATTCTCCATGAACAACATAGATATGTTTATTCTTATTATTACTTATACCAGAAGCTTACCTCCTCTATCTGTACATGCTGAGGTCATGGCTGTCCTAACAGAAGTAATCCTGTTTCTCTGAGGCTCTCCTTACTCCTCTTTCCACCAGTCCCAGGTGTTCATTGTTTCTCTTTTCAAAATGCACACAACAGGAAGATTTTCTCTCTCATCATGGCTTTCCATTTTGACCTGTATTTTGTAAACTTTGGTGTATCTGCTGTCACCTATGCGAACCCCCTGTAATCCAGAACCATCTTCTTGTGTTTACCTTCTAAAGTTTGCATTCCAGGATGTGTGTGATTGCTAGACGGAAAACGTGAGGGGTGCTAAAATACGATTTAAAATCAGATATTTAGAACCGCTCTAAATATCTTTAAAAGGGGATGGAGGAGGCAGGAAATGCTCAGGATTGATTATAAAATACTATTAACAAAGATTTCTATGGGATTGGAGAGTGTTTTGTCAGATTAGTTATTGTTTTTCTGGGGGGTGGAACCGGGGATTGAACTCAGGCCCTTGTGCTTGCCAGAGAAGCACTTATTCTACTGAGCCATCTCCCCAGGCTCTCCTGTGGTTTTTTTTTTTTTTTTCTTTTGTATTTTAAGGGAAGGATTTACAGGGTGTTCAGGGTCTAACTAGTAGATTGAACTTGTAGTGGTTTGCTGGGATTACAGGTGCGCACCACCACGCCCAGTCTCAATTGCTGTCTCAGCGCGCCCTGGGATGAGGCTGGCAAGACAGATCTGGGGATCAAAGTCCTGGCTCCTTCACCTGCTTGCAGGTGCTTCAATCCACTGACCTATTTGTCTGGCCCAGTTCCTGTTTTCTTGGGTGGTCTATTGGGATAGAAAATGGCTACCGAGCTGGGATTGTCTACCTAATTTCTTAGCCTTCTCCTTGCAAGTTCTGGCTAATTTGACAAAACCCCTCTACCTCTTCTCATAATTCAATTTTTTTATACTTAAAACTGTGCTTCAGAAGATTCTTGGCACATTATACCTGCTTTGTATAGATCTGTGCCATTTCAGTGAACGTGCGAAAAATATTTCCCTTTCTTTTCTGTGCCCTTTATCATTAGAAATGACTTGGCAGTGTCTGTTCCTTGCTCTCACTGTGCATAGGAGAAAGGGAAGGAAGAAAGTGTCTCTTATTTATTTATTTTTTTCTTGAGGCAAGCTGGTCCTGCATGTTTTGTTTCTGAATTGGTGCTTTGTGTCAGTTGACCTTTGCTTTTTCTTCTTAGGATGAATGCAGGGAAACAGGGAAGATAATTAAGTTGAGCAATTGTGTCGCCTTCCCGTGGTCTGTCTTACTGACGGTTGACTGAAAAGAAGAAAAGTGAGCTCAAGTTATTTCCGCCCGATTTGGCCTCATTGACTTCTTTCTCTTTCTAGAGCGAATGCCCTGAAAGAGAACACGAAAACCAACACAACTGTGTCATTTAGGTCCTGCTGGTGCAGAGTGAAACCTTGAGCATGTACATTTGTCCTCAAATTTTGTTTCAAGCAAGAGGCTGGGTTTTGTCTTTGTGACGTCACCATTCTCACCTTATTTTGATGTGAGTTCCTCAGGAGG